GGGGCTGGGGCTGGGGCTGGGGCTGGAGGGGTAGCAAAGCCGAGAAAAGGAGCAGACAGCGCTTGGAGAGGTGTAGACTGTATCGTCTCCTCTGCCCCCGTGTCCTCACAACCCAGACCCCGGGAAGCTCGGCTCCCTCACCCACTCCAGCCCCGCCCCCGGCCGGCCCCACCCTTATTCCATTTCCGTCTTTCCCAATTGAGTTCCCCTGCCCCCTCTCATCCTTTCCAGTCCTCCCCTCCCCCGTCTGCCCGCCTTCCACCAGTCCCCGCCCGCGGCACTGCGGTTTCCTTTTCCTCCGGCGCCCCGCACCCAGCGCGTCGCGAGGTTACCCGGCAGATCGCCTCCGGTTCGCCATCCTCGGTCCGCGCCCTCAAATTTCCCCCGCCCCTCCCCCCGCCCGCCACCTTCGCGCGCCGGGTTTGGGGACGTCTGAGGGGGGAGCAGGACCAGAGGCTGTCCTTGACGCCTTCACGGTTCTCCTCCGGCGCCAGACAGCCGTCCCCCAGCGGGCGACAGCGCGGCCCCTGCCCCGCGGTAGCGTCCCCTCCCACCCCTGCCAGGGAAGCATCACTCCCCACCCCCCACACCCCTGCTCCAAGCTCTGAGCCTCTCCTTTCCAGGGTGACCGCGGACCATTTCCCGAAGCCTAGGGTTAGAAGAGCTCGCACGCGCGCCTGACGCTATCCCTGCGCCCGGGGTCCCGCCCTGGCCCCCGCTCCCACCTGGGCTGGGGTCCTCGGCTGCTGCAGCCTCCTGCCGTCGCACCGCCGTCTCCAGTTGCTGCACCCCGCTCGGCGCCCGCAGTTTTCACCAGGGGTGGAGGCGAGGGGGAGCGGGGAGCCGGGAGCTCAGCCAATCAGAGGCGGAGAGGGGGAGAGAGGCTGGCAAGGAAGGGGCGGAGGAGGGGGAAGGCCGGCCCGTATTGGTGAGGGAGAGCGGCGGGTGGCCGCGGAAGGGGACCTCACCCCGTGACTGGCCGGCCTGGCCAGAACCGGAGGGTCCGGAACCCTTGGGGATCAGGGTGGAGCAGCTCAAAGAACGCTAGCCACCCCCCCGTGCCACGCAATGATAGCTCCTCACTTAAGGCTTTAACCCTTTCTTCTGACCTATTCTCCAGAGGTCTGAAAACCCAAGTGTGAGGGGTGCAGGATGGAAGCCGGCAGCCTGCCACCGTGGGGGGCGCCACGCTCTGCGCTTCCTCTTTAGCTGGAGCCCACAGCCCACCTTCTGCGGAGCCTCTAGTGAGGTTTTGGCGTTGGAATATTCGTCCTTCCGAAAGGATACCGGCTGGGTGTTTCTCCATATTGGAGCAGCCCTTCGGATGCAAGACAGGCGCTGCACCCATCCTGTTCTTCCCTGAACTCCAGCCTTGCCCCACCCCCTCATCTGTTCCAGAGAGCCCAGACCTTGGGGGAACCTGCAGGTGCTTCCTGCTCTGGGCTCTCATGTCTCCCTCAGCTCCTGGGCTGGCACCTTCCCGCCCAGACAGCTAGAAGGTTCTTCTGGATTTCACTGAGCACAATCTGCTTGCTTGGACTTCAGTGTCTTTATCCAGCACTGTGCTGGGCACATGGCATCCAGGGCCACCTTTGCCCCACAGCGACTGCTAGGTTCATCCTATCTCACTCCCCATCCTGTTTCTTGACTAGGAATTGGGAGAACTCTACAAATGACCCACGTCAACCCATGCCGTGGGACCCTAGCCATCTCAGCCGCATCACTGCCCAGTGGGAGGAGAGACAGTGGATATGCAGGCATCCTGGAAAGGAGAGGTGCAGAGCTTGCGGCAGCGAGGTGGGGAGGGGGTGGTGGTGTTTCCCAGGCAGGGGTGGCAGTGGCTGCTACCACAGGACAGGTCAGAAGACTGACCGCGGAAAGGGATAGACTGAGACCTGCTCCTGCTCCCCTGGGCACTCCTTTGAGCCCATCAAGTTGATGTCATCAGAAGCCCTATGGTCTTTATTTACAGCCACTGCTAATGACTTGTCTCCCACTCACAGGTGATTTTTTTTGAACTGAGTTTCATTCGATTGATTTGCATCCTTCTGGCCTCTTTGTGAATTCTGGTCAGGACATTCTGTGGGCTGGCCCTGCCTCCCAGCTGTCTGCCTGCCCATTCTCCTATTTCCTCACAGAATTCATCCCTGGCACCTTCACTGCAGTTTCTGATACTGCAGTGGCACAGTTGGAAGCCGTCCCTGGGCTTGCAAGTGGAAGATTTGCTTGGTCTCCCATCACTTAGAGTAATGAAACATTCTGACTGGAATGAGCCTTGCAGATGGTCAAGTCCAAAGTGGTAATTCACTTTGGTAAACCACAGGGGCTCCTGGAGCCACTTTATGAAAAATGCAGCTGGTCTGGTCCACCTAGGACTTCTTTGATTTAGTACCAGGGCCCACTGACTCTGCACTTTTCACTAACTCCCCAGAGTCTGGGACTCTAGTACTCTGATCTGGACCACTCTTTATAGATGAGCTAGTCTGGCTTCTCACTGTTTGTTGGGCAACTTTTGTTGTTCATATTGACGCAGGGTCTTGCTCTGTCGCCCAGACTGGAGTGCAGTGGCACCAATCATGGCTCACCATGCCTCTAGCTCCTGGGCTCCAGTGATCCTCCTGTGCCAGCCTCCTAAGCAGCTGGGACTAGAGGTTTCCCACAACCACACCCTGCTAAGTTTTTAAATTTAAGGTCCTGGATGTCCTGGCCTGTGGCTGCTGACCTCCACCACCCCATTTTCTCATTCATTTTCCTGCTGCATTTCAAACATGCTGGCTTTCTCTCTGTTACACCATGGCACTGTACTCCTTCCTGCTCAGCCATCTTCTGAGTCTCAGCCCTATCATTCCTATCAGAACACAATTGCTTTAGCTTGTGGCCTAATCAATATCTACCCCCACACACACACACTCACACACACACACACACACACACACACACACACACACGCACACACGCACACACGGGTTGGAGATAGTTTCTTTTTTTGGCAGGTTATGGGGATACCCAGAGGCCCCTTAGCTGCAGGAGGTATCCGGGCTCTGGCTGGCTGCTCTGGCTGGCTAAGACCCTGAATGCTCTGTTTCCCAGTCTTTGGTCCTGTCTCTGAGTGCTGCTGGGTGGAAGACCTAGCAGTGCTATTTTGATAAGGTTTTGAGGATCTGGCCTAATTTCTGGGTCCCCAAGCACTTTGCCTTCAGGAAGGGGAGGGGAGTGTGGATGGTAGAGTGTGTAGTAATTGCATGTCTGCTAAAGCAAGGTCTCTGATTGGATGGAATTAATGTCTCAGATGAGATATCCAGGGTCTGGAATGGGGAACAGGGTGGTGAAGGGAAGAGATTTTAAAATTCATGTATTCTGGGAGCAGTAGCTGGTGCCTGTAATCTCAGCTACTAAAGAGGGTGAAGCAGGAGGATCGTTTTAGACCAGGAGTTTGAGACCAGCCTGGGCAACATAGTGAGACTCTGTCTCTAAAACAAAACAAAACAAAACAAAACAAAACAAAACAACAACAATACCCCCTTTCATTTACCATGGACAGGATCAGAGTGCTGAACACAGCAAGGGCTCAGAGGAATCCACCGAAGGTGAGATTTCCTGCTGGGCTGTGTTTGCCCTGCTGGTCCGTGGTTGCCCTGCTGGTCCTTTAGGGCTCTCTTTACCCATCTCCTGTTCCCCCAGTTAGAGAGACATGGGGACAAAAACTCTTCTAAAAATGCATACTCCTTTAGGGATGACCTAGGGACCACCAGCCATTCACTCTTCATATTCACTGGTTTCATCAGATTATCTTTATATCATCACAGAGGTGGCCAAAGCCACTCCATCTATGGCTAGGACCTGATGCCCAGAAAGGGTAATGATTTGCCAAAGGTCAGACAAATACTTTGGAGCATGACCGGGACTAGTTGGATCTTAGGTCTCCTGACTGTATGTGTAGTGCTGTCCAGTGCTCCTGGGGTGGGTCCTCAGACCTCTGCTAGACTGATTTCCCTGGCCCATGGTGAAATAAGAAAAACAAAGGCCAGCTGGGTACTGTGGCTCACGCCTTTAATCCCAGCACTTTGGGAGGCTGAGGTGAGAAGACTGCCTGAGCCCATGGGTTTAAGACCAGCCTGGGTAACTTGGCAAGACCTCATCTCTACAATAAATCAAAAAATTAGCTGGACGTGGTGCACATGCCTGTAGTTCCAGTTACTTGGAAGGCTGAGGCAGAAGGATAGCCTGAGCCCAGCAGGTCGAGGCTACGGTGGCCATGAGCGTGCCATTGTACTCCAACCTGGGTGACAGAGTGAGACTCCAACTCAAAAAAAAAAAAAAAAAAAAAAGAAGAGAAAAACAAAGGAGGAAGTCTGGGGCACTCTGAGCATAGCTCTCAGTCTGCCACCTTGCTTTGATTTTTTATTCTTCACCCTTTTGATGAGGGAGAGATTCCCACCTCTTAGGTTATGGGATGGCTGAACACATGACCCCAACACTAGATAGATGAATGTGATAGCAGTTCATTAGTCACCTATACTCATAGCCCAGAGGATGACACTGCATGCCAAGAAGTGCTACACAGACATGGCACTTAGAAGCAGAGTGAACAGGGGTTGTGGGAGATAGGCTTTGTAGTATCAAAATGGCAGGATGCTCTCTGTCTCCTACAAGAAGATATGATTAGCTATTTAAATTGTTCTGTGAGCTGGTGGGGTGCTGAAGCCCACTACTCAAGGATAAGCAGAAACTGTGCCTTGTCCCCAAGATAAGGAGGGTTGTTTGGCTAGGGGACCTTATCAGCAGAGTAGGAAGGGGAACTTGCAGTTAGGCTACTTGAGGTCTTCCCAGTGTCATCAGATGTCAAGGCAGCGCATAATACTGAGCCCTGATTTTTGGTCCGTTGAGACCACACACCTGCCTGTCTTATTCTTTCATTCTAAGTTTATATCTTTCCACTTCTTTTAATTGGTGGTGGCTGAGGGTATGAGTACATCCCTGTTTTTAATATCCTATTTGACAAAAAAAGAAAATTGACAATCTTCTGTTGATCCTCAAACTTCTTTGGAAACGTGGCTAAGTCTATGAAATTAAAAATCTTGGAATCATTGCTCTACACTCCGCTACATTTCCTGATCTCTAGTTGAGGCCAATTCCCCAAGTGAGGTCAGCTCCCTGAAAAACTGCGTGTTTGGTTACAGAATATAAAAAATAAAGATTATCTCCTAGAATACAGGGTGGAGGTTGAGAGGAGAAAGCACCAATGAAGATATAATTTAATGTTCAACAGTTTTTTTTTTAATTTATTTTTTATTTTTTGAGTTGGAGTCTTACTCTGTTGCCCAGGCGGGAGTGCAGTGGCATGCTCACAGCCACCCCAACATCGATCTGCTGGGCTCAGGCGATCCTTCAGGTGATCCTTCCGTCTTAGCCTTCCAAGTAGCTGGAACTACAGGCACATGTTACCATGCCCAGCTAATTTTTTGACTTATTGTAGAGATGAGGTCTCACCAAGTTGCCCAGGCTGTTCTTGAACCCCTGGGCTCAGGTAATCCCTTTCAGCTCGGCCTCCCAAAGTGCTGGGATTACAGGCTTGAGCTACCATGCCCAGCCTACAGTTATTTATTTTAAAAACTTTATTCATGGATGTATAATTAATCAAATAATTAAAAGACACTATTGGCACTAATAACAGTCCAGGCACAGAGCTAGACTCTGGGAATACAAAGATCAATAGAACACAATATCTGCCCTCCAAGGCTTTTCCAGTGGGGGAAACAGAAATGGTATATAGACAATTAGGAAGCAATGGGGTAAGTACAGAGGTAGAGATGTGTATTGGGTGCTGTGGGAGTCCAAAGGAGGGATGACTGACAGCTCAGTTTGTCAAGGAGAGCTTCTTGCA